ATGTTTTCTGGAACATCCATGAGCCAGAGGAAGGCAAGGTAAGTTTCAATCCAATTGGATCATTCTTTTTCAATCAATTAAGCGAAATTCACAATTATGAATGTTCTTGGCATTTGGTTCTTCCTTTCCAGTTCAATTTTGAAGGAAGATTTGACCTGGTGAAGTACATCAAGCTTATTGGTGAACATGGCTTGTATGCAACCGTTAGATTTGGACCATTCATCCAAGCTGAATGGAATCATGGGTAATATTTCCTTTCATTTATATGTTATCTCCTTTTGCTTCTTCTGCTGCTGCTAATTCTTTGCTTGCTTTCCCTGCAATCATAATCACCAGAGGACTTCCCTATTGGTTGAGAGAGGTCCCAAACATAATCTTCCGTTCCTACAATGAACCCTACATGGTAACTAAACCATACAACTAAAAATGAGGATTATGAATTAAATCATTTTATAATCTCCATTTTTTGGCAACGGTTATGCAGCAACACATGGAGAGATTTGTCAAGATGATTGTAGATAAGCTTAAAGATGCCAAGTTGTTCGCAGGTCAAGGAGGTCCCATTATCCTAGCTCAGGTTTAATTTCTTCAATTATATAGCTATATTCTTCATTAAGTCTAATTGAAATTGAAAATAAGTTGTTCAAACAATTTAACATTGTGAAGCTATTATGCAGATTGAGAACGAGTACAACACTGTCCAATTAGCTTACAGAGAATTGGGAAATAAGTATGTTCAATGGGCAGGAAATATGGCTGTAGGACTCAACATCGGTGTCCCATGGGTCATGTGCAAGCAGAGGGATGCTCCAGGCCCTGTTGTACGTACTCACTAATTTAATCTATGTTGTTTTCAAGGTTTTAGAGTTACATATTGTGGTGTATGATTATTATATTTTTTGTATTTTAGATTAATTCTTGCAACGGAAGGCAATGTGGAGACACCTTCAGTGGCCCAAATAAGCCCAACAAACCTTTATTATGGACTGAGAATTGGACCGCTCAGTGAGTAGAAGAGATTTACCTTGACCTACTTACCAATTTCCACATTAGCTATCTGATTGAATCTTAAACATTATGATATCCACAGGTTTCGAGTTTTTGGTGATCCACCATCTCAAAGGTCAGCAGAAGATACCGCATTCTCGGTGGCTCGTTGGTTCTCAAAAAATGGTAGTCTAGTCAATTACTACATGGTAAGGAAAATTACATAAAAAGCTTGTTCATGTTATATGGTTAGTAATTTGAGATATGTTCTTATATAAACCCATGTCTCATGCATATTATGTCACTGCAGTACCATGGTGGAACTAATCTTGCTAGGACTGCTGCATCTTTTGTAACAACTCGATACTATGACGAGGCTCCCATTGATGAATTTGGTGGAGTTTTCCAAGATCTACATTTCTCGTGTTGTCTAAGAGGGAAAATGAAATTATATTCTATTTAAACTAATAATGTGCTTCATCATTCCAGGTCTTGAGAGGGGACCAAAGTATGGTCACTTAAAGGATGTGCACAAGGCTCTCAATCTATGCAAGAGGGCTCTGCTTTGGGGATCCACGAGTGCACAACGGTTGAACCCAGATGTAGAGGTTCGAATCTATGAGCAATCCGGGACAGATGTATGTGCAGCTTTCCTGACCAACAACCACACCCGACTTGCTCATACTGCTAACTTCAAGGGCCAAGATTACTACCTCCCTCCACGTTCCATTAGTATCCTCCCTGATTGCAAAACTGTGGTGTTGAACACTGCAACGGTATACTTACTGCAATCATTTAGAAATTCAAATGAGAAAATAAAAACCAATTCCGAGTATATGTTAGGGATTATGAATCTTGATTATTATTTTTGATAAACCCAGATTCTGGCACAACACAATTCGAGGAACTTCGTAAGATCATCAGTCACAAATAAGCTCGATTGGAAGATGAACTCAGAAGTCATTCCAGTCGATCTTAAAGTGACATCATCCACTCCGATGGAGCTCTATTTCTTAACCAAAGATAAGACTGACTATGCATGGTACACCACAACGTAAGTAGACACAGATATACACTTACTAGAACTCATATCTTGTCAAAACAAATATTAAACAAATTAAAAAATTCGTCCATGTTGAATTTTTACAACTCGCAGGATAAACTTAAGTCCACGAGACTTGTCAATGAGGAAAGACATTCTCCCAGTTATTCGGGTTGCGAGTCTGGGTCATGCCATGGTTGCTTTTGTGAATGGCCAATTTGTAGGTTCTGCACATGGAAGCCAGATCGATAAGAGTTTTGTGCTCCAAAAGTCTGTGGAATTGAAGCCTGGAATCAACTATATCTCCCTCTTAGGGACCTTGGTTGGACTTCCCGTGAGTAAAACCTAAATAAAAAAACATTTCAGGTTATCACCATAACTGGTTTCTCACACTTCTTCATTATCTCATGAATTACAGGATAGTGGAGCTTACATGGAGCATCGATTTGCTGGACCTCGTGGTGTCTCAATCTTAGGATTAAACACCGGAACACTCGATATATCAGAAAATGGTTGGGGAAATCAGGTTTAAATGCAATTCATGCATGTTACCCCATATCTTATCATGTGATTCTCTCATTAACATGACGAGAAGCTGACTTGAAAACTTGAACCCTCCATGTTATAGGTCGGTCTGATTGGCGAACACGACGAGCTATTCAACGAGGATGGATCAAAGAAGGGAAAATGGACAGATCTCCCCAAAGTAGGCAAAGGACCTCCTCTAACATGGTACAAGGCCAAGTTCGATACTCCTGAAGGAAATGACCCTGTGGCAGTTAGTATGTATGGAATGATTAAAGGCATGATTTGGGTCAATGGCAATGCAATTGGTCGCTACTGGATGTCTTATGTCTCCCCTCTTGGAGATTCTACTCAAGCTGAGTAAGTCAATTTCAAAATCCAACATTCACTAAGCATAATAAAAGAATTCTAGATTTTCTTTGAACATAAGTTCTTCATTAGGTATCTCATCCCGAGGTCGTATCTGAAGCCAAAGGAGAACTTGATCGTGGTGCTAGAGGAAGAACCAGCGCATCCGTCGAACATCACAATCTTGACGGTGAATCGTGACACGATTTGCAGCTACGTATCAGAGCTTAGTCCACCAAGTGTCAGACAATGGGAGAGGAAAGATGACAAGTTCAAGCCAGTTGGACCAGAAGCAAAGGTAGGAGCTCGTCTGAAGTGTCCCAACAGAAAGAAGATCGATGTTGTCGATTTTGCCAGCTATGGTGATCCTTATGGAGCTTGCGGCGGATTCGCACAGGGTAGGTGCAGCTCACCGGTGTCCAAACAAGTTATTGAACAGGTAAATGCAATAGTGAGAATTTTGAAAATTTCAATAAACTCTGAATCTTTTAGAGGTGAAAGGTGGAATTAAACTATGGGTTTCTGGTTTTTGTATTGGGCAGAACTGTTTGGGAAAGGATATGTGCGATGTTCCACTAGATAAGGGGATTTTCGAGAAGAATGGCGACCCTTGCCCTGAAGTAAAGAAGACATTGGCTGTTCAAGTGACCTGCAGGTAGAAGAAAATAAAGGACGGGAAGCAATAAATTTTCAAATTATGAAGAAAAATTGATAAAAAAGAGAACGAGCGATAATTGGTGATTGGTTATGGAATTTAATTAACTAACAAGAAGATGCTGGTATTGATTTAGCTGGAGAGGAAATTTGGGACGAGATTGATTTCAGAATTTTGGTTCCAGATTTTTTAAACTTTTTTGTACTTCAGCTAAAAGAGAACGAAAGAAATAAGAAGTTAAACAAATTCCATAACTTTGCAATTTTGCTTGCTCGCAGTTTTTCTCTTCTAGATCTGAGTACCAATAACAAAATCAATACCACCACTATATATTGAATGAATTGACAAAATTAGCACTGCAAGTATGAAAATATTAGTATGAGTTCTTCTCTTTTTGAGCTCGCAGTTTTCTCTTCTAGATCTGAGTACCAATAACAAAATCAATACCACCACTATATATTGAATGAATTGACAAAATTAGCACTGCAAGTATGAAAATATTAGTATGAGTTCTTCCCTTTTTGAGTTCTCGCGATTAATATAACATCAAATTAACTATTTTATTCCATTGTTGTTCTCTAACTTAAATTCTTGGATTTGTTTCTATCCTAAATTTTTTTCAAGACACGTCACATAAAAATTTCAAGATATAATGAAATGTACCTTTTCCATATATATTCTCAAAAAGGGAGACATTTATACCGTACAAAAATAAACTCTTTGAAACCTGAATTTATAAAAGAAAAAGAGACGTTGGTCGATCAACTACTGAACTAACAATAAGAGAATGTTCTTTCCACGACTCTTATATACCTTTTCGACAAGGATTAAATCCATGATCGAGCATTAACAAAATAGAAAGTCATGGACCGAGCCTGGCTTCCAAATGAAAGCTGACTAGCGAAAGAGAGCCCAGAAGGCTCATATGCGAAGTTGATCAACTTGCGATCGTGCACAAATACTGCCACGCCTTCCATCTCACACCGACACACCCCATCACTGCCATGGGTTAGGAAAAGCACCCACGACATTAGGATAATAATGGAGAGGTCGAGAGAGAATGGCCAAGCCACTTGTCAGGAGCAAAGGGTAGGCAAAACAATCCTAAATATAATTAAAGTTATAAATGTGTTACTGTTGCATAAGAGGTTTGCTATGATGACTGGTAGGTTAGATTCACGGATGACAGACAGCTCTGCAACAAACGAGTGATCGAGTGATCGTCTTCTTCCGCATTTTAGTCCCAACTCATCCTTACTTTTGTGACTGATTAAATATTAATTTTATCCAATTTACTTCTACATTTCTCTCCAGAAAAAATCTCTAATCCTTTCCTTGCTTCTTTCTTTTACAGTGGACTTTCCTCCTCAATCCTCCCTTCTTATTCTTCATGGGTTTCCCATTTTCTTCTACACGGCAACATGGAAGGCCGTTTGTTGTTCTTCTGATTTTTCTTCCACTCTTATTGATTAAATTAATTTTCGTCCGTACAAAGATAGTCAAGGAAGTTGCATCCACTAGTCCCCTCGACCTCGATCGATAAGGAACCAAGTACCAAACTCTACTTTTTAGTTGGATCAATCGAGATTCTGGAGGTGAGACGGCAAGAAGAGGCGACCTAGAGCCATGCAGACAAGAAAAATGAAGAGTATTAATTGTTTAAAAAATCCCAATCAATTAGCTTCTCCCAAGAAGAAACCCCCAAACATAATACGAGAAAACCCAATTCTACTAGAATCAGTTATGCAATGTATGTATGGAAAGATCTGCATGCAAGGTAAAAATAATGAAATCTCACCACTATTTTTCACTAAATTTAAAGTTTTTGCTAGAATCATAACAAGGGAAAAGGGAAGCAAAAAAACTTGAAATAATGGCGGCAACGGTAAGGAAGAAGGGAGACGAAGCTGAAGCACATAAGGCAGAAATATGAATTTTCTAGGACTAATGACTTCTCCCTTTGCATGCACCATTTTCGGTATGGGCGTCTGCCTCTCCGTTGCATCTTAGGAGCCCAACCATCCGCAGAAGCCTGAAACAGTCAACGCTAGCTTCATTTCGCACCCCCGCCTCTAGGATTCAGCTTGCGGTGCATTTTTGGGACTTATAATCTTCTATGCATGTTAGGGATCGCGGCGGGGGCAGAGGGAATAGGTTCCAATTATACTTGCGGTGAAAGGGAATATGGAATCATGAAAAAAGATGAGAATGGGGAGCTGGGTTTGGTTGGTGGTGGTGAGACGGAAGACAGAGAAGGACTTGGGTTCTTTTTTTTCGTAAAAAGGGGAGGGGGAAGCTAATTGTGGCTTGGGGTAAATAAAGAGACAAAGCAAATCAGTAAAAGTTATGGATCTGAAATAAAAGTGAAAAGAAATCGGTATGGAGTGGACTAAGGATAGGAGAGGTCGGGCTGGGAGGAGGAATGATATGGATGGATAGGAAGGTATCTGGAAATTGAAGAGTCTGAGGGAGAGAGGAGAGACAAGTAATAATAAAACATAGAAAAGAGAGTGCACGTTAGGGAATTCTAGAATGAGGAATCTTTTTGTTTTTCAATGAGGTCTAAGGCCACAGAAAGAGAAAACGACAATTAGAAGAGAGGAGGATTAGTTCCCTTATTATTTTGTGTCACATTCATATTATTATTACGAGAATTAGGCCCTTCAAACGGGGCCCAATTTATAAAGATGGACTTGGACTGTCTTGCAACGCAGACCGTCAAAACCCCACTTGGTATAAGTTTTCTTTAATTGATTGATTTTTTTTCATTTGACACGTCATATGCATTTTCATTTAAAATCTTTTCAATAACCATTTCAGCCCAACTATTCCTCTTACAGAAGGAATATATGTAAGCCCAATTTCCCCCTGATGCATTTGTCCTCTTGGTGCTTACAGAAGAAATAGAGACGGGCTAGCAAATAACTCTTCAAATTGAATCCGTAAAGCCGCTGCAAAGCGCGGCTTATGCACCCATAGTTATAATGAAATATACTCGAAGATAAACTATTTCGACAACTACAGTAGTATGTTTTATTAGAAACTTAGTGAAACTATAATTTTCCCTAATTTTATACATCAAAGGTGTTCGGGAAATTAGGCACGGCAATATAAACTGGGGGACCTCCTACAGTACCTTGTGTTTTTTGTGAGTTAGGTAACTTATTTTTTTCTTGCACAAATCTGGACCATTAAAATTAAAAATAGAACATTATAGCCATTGATGAGAATTAAAAAAAAACACGTTGATGGGAAACCGGCTTTACCGGTTACAGCTAGCCGGCGAAAAACTCGCCGCCGAAAATCTCGCCGACTGATGAATGCTACCTTACCGTGTTCCCATGCCAATTAGGAGTCGGTGAATTTTGTTCTATCCTAAAATTAGGTTTTCCAATCCACTATTGCTTAATCCGCCGGGATCCCACGTCTGTCGCCGCACCCACAGCCTCCCCCTTATACGACGACACCCGGCACCCCACAGGACTGATCGGAACCGTCGGTGCAGACAGGGACACGACCTCTGCCGGATCATCGCCGGCGCCTCGAAAGCCAAGATCGTATCGACGGTACGGTACCAGAAATCGCATACTTCTCCAGAACCCTCTGCTCTGATCTCAATGAAGTCTCCGATCTCAATCCCCCAGTTTTTCGTCCTCCTCCAATTGCTTTTTGAATCGACGTTCGCCTCACACTTCTTCTCGCTGCGGCTGGAGAACCCGTGGCGAATGTCCCACAGTTCGGCGACTGAGGACGGTGGAGGGGGTTGCCGGCGCCCTGTGGAGACCTGCTGTAGGTGTCGATTAAGACCAACTGGACTTCAAACGCCGGATTCTCCACCGCTGGCGGATACGGCTTTGAAGTGCAACCTATTGCATACCCTCTTGCAAGGTATGTGTATTAATTGATAGCCTGACTCGCTATGACACAACTCCTAGCAGTGGCCAAGTGTAACCAATGAAAGGGACTGCAGTATAGTGGCTCAAGTAATAAATATCGAATTCACGGGTCTCTAGAGTTACTATTACTCAGCTTCAGTTCATTATCTAGCAAACCAGATTAAGATGAAAGAACTAAAACTACTCTAGCAAACTACAGTTAAAGTTAATCTAATTACAGGTTGGGAACTCACTTAAGTATGATTCCCCCTAGCCACTAGCCAGATTAACGATTGATGATCTCTGACATGTTTCACTTTCATTCACAATGCGGAGAATCCTTAACTAGACCTTGAGTCTCGACTAAAGGAACAAGGCCCTCTTGAGTCAATTGCCTAGAGGGACGTATCCTTCTCTAGAACAACCGATCAAGGCGTTCTGAACTAGATTCCCTCTATCGAATGAGGTTCTCAATCGATACAAAGCATTGAATCAACCCTCGACTAAAGCAATCGATCCACTACTATCAATCTATGGTGCTCTATTGACCTAATCAGGTATTCGCTCTCATAGGATCAAAGCAGAATCAATAATCTCGACTAAAGCAAAATTGAATCATTAAAACATGCATAGATTAAATATGAACTCAAGATTATCAAGTAAGAGTACTCATACAATCATCCAATCAAACAAACATAGCTAGGGTTCCTCAATACCTAAGTGAAGGGAAGTTACTCCATAGAGAAGAGAGAGACTGCAGTAAGAATCTTCAGATGATCAATCTTCAAGTCCGGGCTTGTTCCTCGAGCTTCCAAGGCGAAGAAATCCTCCAATTCCACTCTTCGAATGCCCTCAAATCGCCCTCTCTTTCTTTGGTTTGTCCCTTGGGTGTTTGGGATCCAAAACCCAGCTCTCCACCTCCTTTGGCTCGAATTTGGGTTAAAAAACCCGATTCTGGGCAAAACACGGTCGAGGGCACGGTCGTGTTTTGCTTTTGCCCGCCCGTGTTTTGCCCCGTGTTAAAAACACGCCCGCGCGCGTAAGCCAAAACACGGTCGTGCCTAAATATGGGCACGACCGTGTTTTGATTTAGGCGCGCCCGTGTTTTTACTGCCGAACCTGTTACCCTATATTCAATGCTTCGTTTCTCCCTCGTCCGGACTCCGAATCAGTCGCCGTTTGATCCCAGACGCTCGTAGTCTCGTCCTCTTTCTTTTCATTACAAGCTTGCATGATTCTTTGTCCATAAAGTGAGGTAGAAATCCATTCTTCTTCAGGTCATGCCCGAGTTTCTTTTCCCGAATCGCCAATTGATCTCTGATTGACTTGAAACTTGCGCCTATGCTTCACTTTATGTGCTAGGACCTGAAATGTGACAAAGGAACACAACCTAGCATAAAATAGGCCAAAGACGCGATAATTAAAGCTCAAACGATCAAGAAACAAAGGGGAAAACATGTGCAAATATCGAGTCATCAAATCCCCCCACACTTAACCGTTTGCTTGTCCCCAAGCAAACCTAACGCAAACCAATGCAACTCTCCAGAACTCTATAGCAACAAACAACCCCGATCGTCGGTAGAGGACTTTCTAGATCATAAAGCAGCTTACGAGGTCAACTGGTCTTCTAGGACGTCCCCTATCTTTCTCAATGTGAGTACTAGACTCAAACCAGGATCATGAGAAGAAGTAGAAGTAAGACAGTCAGTTCATGGATAAAGGGACTCACACCATTCACAACCAAGGACTCGTTGTACCGGGGTGCTCTTTCACTTCATTTCACCATTGGAACCCCTTTTTCACTTTCATTTTACTTACTTTTTTTTCCCTTTTTATTCACTTAGAGGGGTTCCAACTGCAGTCTTTTGCACGGTCGAACCTTATTAGTCGAGCAAGAGCAATTTATGTACATCTAGCGCTCGCCAGAGTACTTCTTTTAACTCCTTTTCCTCAACTCGTGTGGAGGGTCAATGAAATTAAGGGGGGTCGGAAGCTCTATCCGTGCCCTTAAAAACACATCCTCAAGTAGGCTAACTGTTCAACGGGTGGAAGTTTTACTTGTACTAGAGACAGCTTAGCTTCACCTTGTAGGAGTACCCCACTAAGGATCACTAAAATCTCCTCCAAAACCCGATTTCGTGCAATGAACGGTGCCGCACACGTTGGGCTTACCCCATGCTTAAGATTTAATGATTTCGACATGGAGGACCAACTGCTTTTCATTTCCTACATGAGCACCCTGTTCGATACACGAGTCCATAACACAATCCAAATAGAGTCACCATTACCACATGAATTCAACGGTCCTAGCTCCACTAATTCACAAAATCAACTAGCACAGTAGAGAGCTAGATAGGAAAAATCTTATACTTCAACATCCTCCATAGTGCTACACTACCTCCCTAGGTTGCACATTACTATAGAGACTGTCAATTCAGAGCATAGTGAGCAGGCAATTTGCAAGGAAACACGTACTTGGAGCCCTCAAATTTAAAAAATTTGGACAGTGGACTAGGCTCCAAGCACACAAACAGCCAAACATTCACCCGCATACATAATCGAACATCCCCCCACACTTAAGCACGACATTTTCCTCAATGGAGGAAAGATAGGGAGGGTAGAACGAAGTTACCAGATCAAGGGTGAATGATGGTTGACGGGGCAGGCGGTGTATTCCAGGAGGAGAGAATAGTCGGAACACAAACACCACACAAAATCTCACAAAGGTTGAGTTATTGACTCTAAAATCAAATAACAAAACTGACTCAACCGATGAGAAAAAGAGAAAGAAATGCAAACCGACTGGTTGGGTTGCCTCCCAACAAGTGCTTCTTTCACGTCGTGAGCCGGACGATAGCTCCTAAGTTTCGGTCCACCCCAAAACCTCCTTGAAGTTGAGGTTCTCGTCAATGAGGTGGATTCTCAAGTCACGAGCATGTGGTATGACAGGTGATGGAAGCTCGTGCACTTGATGCGGATGAAGTCTCCACCCTCGAGACCTCTTCTTCTCTTCTCTCGTCTCATTGCCCCAAACCAGATATGACAGCATCAATTGACCACCATCGCGTCCACCAAGAGGGACCGATGTCGACGTGGCCTTGGTATGGCAAAGAGACACTGCAAATGGATCCTTGCTAAGTAGTTCCTCGAAGTTTGGTGGAGATATCAAATGTAACTCATGGCCGGTGCAAGCCTCTTCCACCTCAACTTCGTCCTCAGCCTGGACGCCAATTGCTACTTCAACCTCCCTTCCTTGTTCATGTGGTATCACCCCTGGGAAATGATCAAGAACTCCTCCTGCTTCACTTTCGTCATCCTCCACAACTTCTTTCTGCACCCTTTCTTGCTCTTCTTCTTCTTCTAGCACGGATTGGAGAGCAAGTTGCCAAGCAATTTCTTTCATGAGATCTTCTTGCATCTCCTCACTCATGCCCACCTCTTCAAAGCTCAGTTTGGGATGTGGGAAGGTGTGGTCGGCTATGTTATGACATTCCTGATCATGATCATCACGGGAGCTCTCCGTGGCAACTTCAGTGTGCTCCACTATGTCCTTGCAGCATTCTTCTTCCTCCTCTTCTTCTTGTATGGTAGCAGAAGGGTGATCTGGAGCAGGTTGTGCGAAAGATCGCGAAAGATCATCGGCGCTCTTCTTAATGCTCAGGAGGATCTCCTCTGTTTCACGATAGGCCTGGACACAATGATCCATCCTGGAGCATGATCTCTCACAATCTCAAGCAAACTGCTCCATGAGAAGCCTCAATTCATAGTTTGGATCTGGCTGTGGAGTGTAGCATGGCTCTGCAGAATGGCCCGTGAAGGCCGCCATGGGTAACTCCAGCGCCGATGGCCCTTCTGGTTGTAGGAGAAATTCTTCTTGATAATGAGGTTGTTCTTGATATGCCCAGGGGTCCGGTTGTTCTCCGTAGTAAGGGGGTTGGTACTGGAACCCGAATCCATAGTCTTATCCTCCTTGATTTCTCCAGGGAGTCTCGGGGTAATACCACTCGGATGGTGGTGGATACCCCCAATGATTGGAGAAGCCATGAGGGTCCATCATTCAAATCTGCACCAACAGAAACAAAAACACCCAAGTGAAAAGCAAGGGTGGAAAAGAAAAGAAAAGAAAAACGCTAAAGTAACAAACTTCTGCCTTTCCTAATACTCTAGAAAGTCCCCGGCAACGGCGCCAAAAACTTGACTCGCTATGACACAACTCCTAACAGTGGCCAAGTGTAACCAATGAAAGGGACTGCAGTATAGTGGCTCAAGTAATAAATATCGAATCCACGGGTCTCTAGAGTTACTATTACTCAGCTTCAGTTCATTATCTAGCAAACCAGATTAAGATGAAAGAACTAAAACTACTCTAGCAAACTACAGTTAAAGTTAATCTAATTACAGGTTGGGAACTCACTTAGGTATGATTCCCCCTAGCCACTAGCCAGATTAACGATTGATGATCTCTAACATGTTTCACTTTCATTCACAATGCGGAGAATCCTTAACTAGACCTTGAGTCTCGACTAAAGGAACAAGGCCCTCTTGAGTCAATTGCCTAGAGGGACATATCCTTCTCTAGAACAACCGATCAAGGCGTTCTGAACTAGATTCCCTCTATCGAATGAGGTTCTCAATCGATACAAAGCAGTGAATCAACCCTCGACTAAAGCAATCGATCCACTACTATCAATCTATGGTGCTCTATTGACCTAATCAGGTATTCGCTCTCATAGGATCAAAGCAGAAGCAATAATCTCGACTAAAGCAGAATTGAATCATGAAAACATGCATAGATTGAATATGAACTCAAGATTATCAAGTAAGAGTAATACAATCATCCAATCAAACAAACATAGCTAGGGTTCCTCAAAACCTAAGTGAAGGGAAGTTACTCCATAGAGAAGAGAGAGACTGCAGTAAGAATCTTCAGATGATCAATCTTCAAGTCCGGGCTTGTTCCTCGAGCTTCCAAGGCGAAGAAATCTTCCAATTCCACTCTTTGAATGCCCTCAAATCTCCCTCTCTTTCTTTGGTTCGTCCCTTGGGTGTTTGGGATCCAAAACCCAGCTCTCCACCTCCTTTGGCTCGAATTTGGGTTAAAAAACCCGATTCTGGGCAAAACACGGTCGAGGGCACGGGCGTGTTTTGCTTTTGCCCGCCCGTGTTTTGCCCCGTGTTAAAAACACGCCCGCGCGCGTCAGCGGAAAAACGGTCGTGCCTAAATATGGGCACGGCCGTGTTTTGATTTAGGCGCGCCCGTGTTTTTACTGCCGAACCTGTTCCCCTATATTCAATGCTTCGTTTCTCCCTCGTCCGGACTCCGAATCACTCACCGTTTGATCCCAGACGCTCGTAGTCTCGTCCTCTTTCTTTTCCTGACAAGCTTGCATGATTCTTTGTCCATAAAGTGAGGTAGAAATCCATTCTTCTTCAGGTCATGCCCGAGTTTCTTTTCCCGAATCGCCAATTGATCTCCGATTGACTTGAAACTTGCGCCTATGCTTCACTTTATGTGCTAGGACCTGAAATGTGACAAAGGAACACAACCTAGCATAAAATAGGCCAAAGACGCGATAATTAAAGCTCAAACGATCAAGAAACAAAGGGGAAAACATGTGCAAATATCGAGTCATCATAGCCCCACCAAATCCTTTTGACTGTTCTATCTTTTTCTTGCTTTTGGATGGCCCTTTTTGGGTGCAGTAATATCCGTGAAGCTTATAATTTTGCTTATGGTCTTGTATACTTAGGGAGCAGTTTGGTTATGCTATTGTAAGTTCATCCTTTGATTTATATGAAAGTAAACATTAGAAAACAAATACAACAACTATGTCAGTTGAATGAAGAGAGCTTTACTGATCCAGTGTACCGTGGAGTGTTTTGTTCTTTCTACATTGAGCTTTAAAGTATTTTCATAATTGATATTAGTTTCTACTCAATACAGCTTACAAATGAGTAAGATGGATGAAGGTGTTTCTCAACAGGTTGATGGTGAAAAGCAAACAAGAAAGAAAAGGGTATTAAGCTTACGAATTTGTTAATTCTTTGTTGAGTTTAAGTACAGAAACCAGCATATTGTGTTTCTAATTTATATATGATGCATTTGTCATGGTTGAAGTTGTAATCAATTTAAATTCATGGTGTTAAGGAGAAGCAAGAAGATGGTTCTACACGATTAATTGAAGAAACCGACAAGGATAAGATCGAGACTATGGATGCTTCAACAGAAAGGTATTTAGTTTTGGTTCTACGCATTGAAATATGCTCTATACATTTGTCTATATAATAACAATTTGGGTGTGCCTACGGTGACATGCATGTCACGGTGACTTGCACTTTCCGGTCGACCTCAGTTAGGATTAGGTCGACCTCATTTAGAATTCGGTCGACCTCATATGGGATATGGTCGACCTCATTTAGGATTCGGTCGACCTCATATAGGATCAGGTCGACCTAATCTGTTGTTTCAGTGTAAAAACAGTTCATGGTGCCTACTTTGGATATTCATATCATACAATTGGCTAGATGGAAATTGAAGACTAATGACTTGTTTTGAAGCTGGAGTGTCCCTCTACATATTGAAGTGATTGAGAGCTCGATAGGAAGTCCAGAAGACCATTTTTGAACCTCATCAAAAGGCTATGCCAAAACTGGGAAACTGCCTGGAAATGGCTCAGTCTGGAAACGTGTTTGTTAAGCCTATTTTGGAGCTCAATTCGAGAAGCATGAATGCGAGTCGAGTCCAGGAGCCTCTACCACGTTAAATTAGATATGTTTTTATACAAATTCAAGGCATTGGATGAAAGATAGGATATCGGTAAGGCTTCAAACAAAAGGGTCGAAGCTGCCAGAAAAACAGCCTTCGTAGCAACTTCGAGCCTTTTGTTTGAAGCCTTAAAGATATTCAATCTTTCATTCAATGCCTTGCCTTTGTATAAAAAAATAGGTAATTTAACGTGGTAGATGCCCCTGGACTTGACTCGCATCCATGCTTCTCAAATTGAGCTCCAAAGTAGGCTTGACAAACACGTTGCCAGAGTTAGCCATTTTCAGGCAGTTTCCCAGTTTTGGCATAGCCTTTTGGCCAGGTTCAAAAATGGTCTTCTGAACTTTCTATTGAGCTCCCAAGTACTTTAATGTGCAGAGGGACACTTCAGCTTCAAAACAAGCCTTTAATCTCCAAATTCCATCTAGCCAATTGTAAGATATGAATCTCCAAAGTAGGCACCATGAAACTGTTTTTACACAGAAACAACAGATTAGGTCGACCTGATTCTATATGAGGTCGACCGAAAAGTGCATGTCACCGTGACATGCATGTCACCGTAGCAAAGTCCTAACAATTTACTTTTTTATAATTCAAATAATGTAGGTATATTTGAGTCGTCGTTGTGGCGTACAATAATTTTGTGGACTCATAGAAAGTTTATATGATGATAAAAAACATCATTCAAGATATGAGGTTTAGAGGGCTCTTGCATCTGAAGAAGCAAAAATCGAAGATGCAGCTTTATGAGGACCTTATGATGAGGTTTAATGTGACTACTAGTCAACTAAGTGTGCATGGTAATCGTCTGACCCTAAGTGTTAATGATATTGTCACCATATTGGGTTTACATGCTGAGGGGCATGAATGTGGAAACCCAACTTGGCGAGGATGATGGAGTGAGGGTAAAGTTTAATTTGGTTTGACACTGAAATATCGGGACAATAAGGAAAGCGATTATTGGTTTATGCCCTGCTCATTTCCCGTGAGTCTCCATACGCTTGAAATTAAATATGTTTTCAATTATTTTTAGTTGTGACAGGGTGGGTTGCCCAACCTGATGAATTTGTAATTCAAAATCGATTAGGCCACACAATGTTGGATAGTGGGCCACGTTGAGCCCCGAGTCCCAAATCGGGCACATCGTCCCTGGACGCCGACTTACTAACCGATCAATGAGACTCTCGTAACTGTTAGTCGACGGTAGAAAATCATATTTCAATTAGTAGCAACAAAGTTAAATAGAAAAAGGGTGTCATACTTTATCCCATATAAAATTTCCACCAAAAATATACATTTCATAATATTGAAAATAGATCGAATATAGTGTTGGTATTGTTCATAAATTTACGTCTTGCTTAAATCATACTAAATATTAAAGATCACCAATTAATCGGATTAAGAAACAACAGAGAAATTGAACAGATTCATTGCAGTAGTTTACTTGTAATCTAACTAACTAAAAAGTCGATTAACTAGTGACACATAACCAATCACTCAAATTCAAATCCGACCAACTCGCTCGTTTAAAAGAAACACACTCTAATAGTTCAATCCCACACATGAAGTTCAAATATGTATTTTTTTATCAACCCATTAGCTTGTTCTACTTTCACCATTATCAAGATGGAAGCCATCAACATAAACATTCAATAGTTAAACTCACACCATAATAAACCAAGTAGTTTCAAATGATAATGATAATTAGATCAACAATTGTGAAAACTAAACAATATTTGTCCATTCTCTCATCTAAATGCATAAGTTCATCTAGACAAAGTTTAATAGAAAAAGGTATTATACTATCAATTAGTCCATCTAAAATTTATAGTATGTCACAGGGGGGCGAGTCACTATTTGTTCACCGGAGGGACTTTCTAAATAAATCAACTAAAATGAAAAATTAGTGACGAAATGCTAATTGATCAATTTGACTTCAAACTATAATTAAAACTAAGAATCGATCAAACAGATGGAAGTTAATTGATTAAATTAGCTAATAGCAGAGGGCGAGTCATTATTTGTTCACCGGAGGGACTTTCTAAATAAATCAACTAAAAATGAAAAATTAGTGACGAAATGCTAATTGATCAATTTGACTTCAAACTATAATTAAAACTAAGAATCGATCAAACAGATGGAAGTTAATTGATTAAATTAGCTAATAGCTCCATCTGATTCTAAACATCCATTACGTAAGGGTTCCGTAATGACAGTTGTTTTTACGTAATAGTTAACTCATAAACGTTACGTAAGACTTCCGTAATACCTTCACACTTTATGTAACGCAAGTTTAGTATTCATTACGTAAAAAAAGTCTCAATTACGTAAGGCTTCCGTAATGACATTTTACAACTGTTACGTAAAATACACATCCATTACGTAAGGCTTCCGTAATGACAGTTGTTTTTTACGTAACAGTTAAATCAGAAGCGTTACGTAAGGCTTCCGTAATACCTTCACACTTTACGTAACGCAAGGTTAATATTCATTACGTAAAAGAAGCCCCAATTACGTAAGGCTTCCGTAATACCTTCATACTTTACGTAACACAAGGTTAATATTCATTACGTAAAAGAAGCCTCAATTACGTAAGGCTTCCGTAATGACAGTTATCTCTTACGTAACAGTTAAATTAGAAGCATTACGTAAGACTTCCGTAATGACTTATTACTTTACGTAACACGAGATAAATATTCATTATCTAAAAGAACCCTCCATTACGTAAGGCTTCCGTAATGAGACTTTACAACTGTTACGGAAGATGCACATACGTTACGTAATAACTATTGTGTTTTACGTAATGCAACCTGTGAAACCTGCTATAGTAGGTAAAATAAATCAAGTTACCTTACTTCAATGCATTGTAGGAATTCCCTATAAACTGGATCTTTATCAATAAAAACATAGAAGTTCTCCAAATTAGAAAACCAAACTTTTATATATATACTAGGTGGTGATGTCGCGCCTTGTAGCGTGGCGGAGATGGTAGATGGGCATGTATTATGTGGCCCGTTATGGTGTTTTGTTTGTATTATAGTCTAAAATTAATCCTTTGTTAGCAGTTTTGTTAGTAATATTGACTTGACAATATGAAATTGACTGAGAAGAGATATATGGTGGTCAATATCTAATTTAAATTTTTTTGAAAATATTGGCTAATAAATGATATTTACCTAAACCCAAGTAGACCCATTAATTATGGCTAGGGTATGGGTGACGTATATATGAGTTTGGAAGTTTGTAGATGAGTTTGGATAGAGTATGAATATTTTCTTTCATAATCTAAATGTGTATGAGTTGGGTATGGATACTATTTATTCAAGGGTGTTTTAATTACACATACAAAAAGTATAACTATTTGTAGAACTTCAAAAGTTTAGGTACTAAAATGAAATACAAAAAAATTTAGGTACTAAAATGGTATGTTCTATCAATATTTGAGGACTTATATGCCCAAAAAATAAATTTAGGTTATAAATCTAAAGATCTATTAAGTTTAGTTACCAAACTGTAATTTGCATAATTGAGGCTTAATTGTTTTTTATGGTGATGTATTTAGGCAAAATACACCTGTATATCCACAACTATCAGGTTTGTGACAAATATATCCACAACTATATAAATACACGAAATATCCATTTCCGTCCACTCCGTTAACTCCGTCAGTTAACTTGATGACTGGACAGACGATGGAAATGCTTAGTTGGGGTGTTTCTGACCCCACTAAATGACGTGGATTAAAAGAGAAAAAAAATTAGGCAAAATACAGTTGTATATCCACAACTATCAGGTTTGTGACAAATATATCCACAATTATCGATATACACGAAATATCCAAAAATCGGAAGGTTGTGTGACAAATCTATCCATTTTCGTCTGAAACTATAACGACGTGTCAGACGGCGTTAAATTGACTAACGGAATGCTGAATCGATGCCATCTCACCTGCCACATAAGCCAAAAAGCAACCAAACTTTACATCGTTATCTGTTAGAATACGCTGCTGCAGTCTTCTCTGTTGGCGATTTGGTTAGATTCAAGCTTTTTTTTTGTTTGAGATTCAAGCTTGGTATCACCATGGCGCCGACTGCATGGAAGCTGTCGGAGTAAAAGGGAGGCAATGGTTGGGGATTGTGGTTGGAATCGAAATCTGGGCTTGGGGTAGGGTTATTTGGGGGTGGAGGCGTCGATCGGAGGAGGATAAGTGGTTATCAGACATGTTTCTGGGTTGGATTTTTAGTCTCGCCGTCTGTGGTTTTTAGGGTTTTTTTTTTTAAAAAATCCTCTTTTAATCCACGTCATTCAGTGGGGCTAGAAACACGCTAACAAAGCATCCACCGTTTGTCCAGTCATCAAGTTAACTGACGGAGTTAACGAAGTGGACGAAAATGGATATTTCGTGTATTTCGATAGTTGTGGATATATTTGTCACAAACCTGATAGTGGTGGATATATTTGTCACAAACCTGATAGTTGTGGATATACAGCTGTATTTTGCCTTTATTCAACTAGCCTATTTGGCATCTACGTGTAAAGTTTGGTTGCTTTTTGGCTTATGTGGCAGGTGAGATGGCATCGATTCAGCATTCCGTTAGTCAATTTAACGCCGTCTGACACGCCGTTATAGTTTCAGACGGAAGTGGATAGATTTGTCACACAACCTTCCGATTTTTGGATATTTCGTGTATTTCGATAGTTGTGGATATATTTGTCACAAACCTGATAGTTGTGGATATACAGCTGTATTTTGCCATGTATTTAAGATGATAATTATTTACATTTTTTTATAGAAAATAGGAAACTATTTATTTTATATGTATAATTTTTGAAAATTCCATTTATAATTGTTGAAAATTCTAGCTAGGGTGGAAAATAAAGACTCTAGAGAGAAGCAAAAAAGAATATAAATTGGAACTCACTTAAAATTTCACGCCTTCAATCTCATAGTGGAAAATGACGACTTTCTAATAAGTAATAACCATGTATATTTATTTTTAATTGGACTCAACATTGAGCTGAAAAAGATAGTGGTTCATTGTTAAATTATTAATTCTCTAAAGTGTTGGTCGGTCGTGTATGGACTCGTTCATACTTGTGATTAAAATATATAAAAATAGTATAATAATTAGGGTTAGACAAATAACGCAAAGAAAGAAATAAAGAAAGGGTTATGGAAGGTGAGTGAAAAATCAAACGAAAATGAGGTAGATGATGAAAAGGTTTTGACCAATTCTTTTAGTTGGTCATCAATACAACAGTCAACCATTTTCACCGTAGCAATTTATTGATGCTTGCTTATGTAGATGTCGCATATTTTGTTACTTGTAATTAGTAGAAGTTTGTTTAGTACTCCGTATATGTACTAAATGAGTTTATAAATTTGCTCTTGCAATATTTTAGAGTCGTATATCTTTTGTCATTTATTTAATATTTCAGGTAATGAACAAATATAAAATGGTTGAATATTCTCCTATAATTGAGTGATACAACATCTTGTGTGGTACAAACTAAATTTATACTTTTATGTTATGGTGGATTGAATTCATGGATTGGTTCAAAAAATTAATATTAAAATTAAATTGAAATATCAAAATGTAAATTGTCCATTATAATAACTAAGTTGTAATTTAATTAACTTTCGAAAATTCTCATCGCTCCAATTCTTTTCTCATAGGATCAAATCATCATTATTAGTTTATTACCAATGGGCCAATTAGAAAGACTTATTACGCAACAGTAACCCAGCTTCAAATTTATATATAGTAAATGTGTAAAGCGAATAAAACAAAGAACATGATCTCATAAATTTAAGTTGCAATCATAACTAAATTAACTAAAAACTTAGGTGGTTTCTTTTCATACTTGGTGGGAGCCACAAATCAAAATCAACAACATAAATTTTGATAATCGACAATTTTATTACGTAATGCCCGATTCAAAGGTGATGAATACTTATTTGATTTGATGGTCTCAGTTTAAATGTCAACCTGATAAGGTGAATCACGAATCCTTACCTCAAGCACATATTGGTATTAACATGTTACCTACACAATTATCTCTATCTATATCCTTTACAATCCTACAAAACCAATTTTGTCCAACTGACTTATTTTGCTTAACATAAATTATGTGATCGATTTTGACTCGTAACTTATTATCACTTGATCCACGCCCATGATAATAATGAATGCCACTTTGATCTTACCATTGCGGTAAGATTACAGCTTGATGTCATTAAGGGTATGTTTGGATACAATGATTTAGATTTGGTATTTGTGATT